CAGCCTGGTCTGACTCGCCAGCCTGGTAAAGATGACAAGGGGGAAATTGTCCCTGTGCCCAGTCTCTTCTGAGGGTTGTGGGGGGTTGGCTCTGAGCTCAGGACCCCCATCCCTGGCGTCCCCCCAAGAGGATCCCTGGGTCCTGCTGAGAAGAATCTCCCTGGGGGAGGAGTCAGGGAGGCTGGCCTGGGCTGTGACCCCTCCCCAGGCAGTTCCCCACTGTTTGCTGGGGGACCATCTCTGAGATTTCTTTGAGAACAAGCCTGAGTGCAAGGCTGGAGCCCCAGGCCCTCAGAGGTGGGCATGAGGCCTGGCACCAGTGCGGTAACTCAGCCACCCTCGCCTGCTCAGGAAATCCGAGGCTCCTCTGGCTCCAGCCCTGCCCAATCTGGGCTTCCTCCAGGCTACCCCTACACAAAAATGACATTGTGTCCACCCCTACCTTCCACAAGCCCGGTGAAACCCTGCCTGCCGGGAGCCAGTGCTGGTCCAGAGAGGTGCGAGAGGCTGATGGCCAGAGACTCCTGTGCTTCTCTGGGCCTCAGTTTCCCCAGCTAAAACAGACATGACAATGTTCTAAAGGAGATAATTGCAGCCTGTGGGCTCAGCCCTGCGGCAGCAGGGGGGCTGCTCCAGAGGAAAGAAACCCTCCTCTCCCAGATCTGTCAATGGCTCCCCGTTGCAGCACTCTGGTACCCATAGAGGCTGCTGAGACTCAGTGTGGAAGTCCCCTGCCCACTCCCAGCTTTGCTCCCCAGGAAGTATTCTGATGGCCTCCTGTCCCTCTGCCCATCTGGGCTGCCTGCCTCCCATTATACCTCCCTCTGCCCCCTCCAGGAAGCCTTCCCAGAGTGCATCCCTCCCCAGCAGGCTGCGTCAGGACCCCAGGACCCACCTACTCTCTCTTGTTGTTCTGCATTGCAACCAGCCTGAGCTTGGGGACGCCCAGTGCCTCCTCTGGGGAGCCTTCCCTGAGTCTCCGGTGTGCAGCACAACCCACTCAGCAGGCCCTCGGCGCTCAGGTGGCTTGAAGATTAAAGTGTGAGTATGAACAGAAGCACATGGGATGGGAAAGAGAGGAGATGGCGCTCTCGGCAAAGGAGACAGTACACGGTCCCAACCACTCCTCAACAACCCTGCTGCCACCCCAGGCTGGCCACAAGGCCTCCAGACTCTGAGGCTGTCTAGGGGGAGGGGCCCTCCAGCAGCCCTCTGGGATCAAGCCTGTCAATGAGCTCACGCTTCCTCCAGCACTGAGGTCCGGGAGCCATGTGCTCTCCCCACCTGCTGGTCTGGGTCACATCCAGGTCTTTCCCACACACCCAACGCCATATGCCACGTGCCGCCAGTGCGTGGCTGCAAACAGAGGCCCAGATGCCAGGCATGCAGGCTCTCGGTCATGGGCACACATGGACACAGCCAGACCCAGGACACATGCAAAACAGAGAACCATGCAGGAACCTAGGCTTGCGTGGGCTGAAGGCTCCGTGCACATGCCCCTCCCGGGAAGGAATCTGGGCTTTCATGTGTTCCCACCTCCTGCCCCGTACACAGCACACACGAGTGCCAGCCACCGTCTCCTGGATGGTGCAGCTGAGGCTCAGCCCCTTCGTGCCTCAGTTTTCCCCTCATGCCCCGCACACAGCACACACAAGTGCCAGTCACTGTCTCCTGGATGGTGCAGCTGAGGCTCAACCTCTCCGTGCCTCAGTTTCCCACCTCCTGCCCTGCACACAGCACACACAAGTGCCAGCCACCCTCTCCTGGATGGTGCAGCTGAGGCTCAGCCCCTCCGTGCCTCAGTTTCCCACCTCCTGCCCCGCACACGACACACACAAGTGTCAGCCACCATCTCCTGGATGGTGCAGCTGAGGCTCAGCCCCTCTGTGCCTCAGTTTCCCCCTCCATCTCCAGAGGGTGTGGGGACTCTGGCACCCCAGGCCCCTCCGTGCCTCAGTTTCTCCTTCTGTCTCCAGTGGGTGTGGGGACTCTGGTGGCCCAGGCACCCTCCCTCGGGCTCTGAGCCTCGGCTCCTCCTGGGGGCGGGGAAGGAGCCTGCCCCGCCCCCACCCTGCCTTTGCCCAAAAGGAGCCCCAAGCGCTGGCCTGACGTCAGGCCCTAGGAAGGCGAGGTCCGGGCTGCATGCAGAGCTGAGAGCTGAGGACTCACATCTCCAGCCTGCCCGGGTGAAGCGCGGTAAGTGCCCCTGTAGGCTGGCCCCAGCCTCCCTCTCCCCAGCTCCCCTAGACAGGAGGCTCCTGAGCTGCTCCCTGCTGGGGTTCTCACTCCCAGCCAAGCAGGAGTGGGAAGGGAAGGGCAAAGAAACTGCCTCCAGATCCAGTCTGGGGAGAGCTCAGAGCAGGTCCTGCCTGACAGGGAGCCATTTCTCAGATGAGAAAACGGAGACCCGAGGGAGAACGCGGGCGCGAGCTGGGCCGGCTGCATAAGGGGGAGCTGGCTGCCCACCCAATTCTGGATTTCATTCATTCACTCACTCATCCCTCCATTCAACACTCATCGAGCATCTGCTGGGCTCCCAGAGCTGGGTCTCGGTTTCCTCACCTGGCAAGGCAGCAGGGTTGCCCACAGGCCAGGCCAGGGACAGAGCTGGGGGACCTCAGAGGCTCTTGGCAGGCTCTGGGGCCTCGGCCGCCACCACCCGCAGCTGGGGCAAGGCCATGGTGAAGGCTTTGTAGACATGGGCTCCAACGCCATGCTCCCTCTTCAGAGTGCCCGTCCTGCCATCCCACAGCTCAGGCCCTCTGCAGCAGCCTTGGTGCTTTCTCTACCCCTTAGGGGTGGGGAAACTGAGGCCCAGGAAAGGCTTGCTTGCCAGCCCCCAATGTGGACCTGGAAGCTGGCTCCAGCCCTGCGAAGCTCGCGCTGGGGCTGCGCTGTGAGAAGGCGGCGGGACAGGGTCCCGAGGGGGCAGCGGGCTGGGAACTGGCCAGCAGCCAAGGTGCTGGCGGGGCAGACGTGGAGCAGCTGGTGACCTCGCAGGACGGGGAATGCACCCCACGGAGGCTGGGCCTGTCCACTTGCCCTGTCTTCTTCCTTCAACAGCTGGCCGTCCTGGGGCTCCCCTCCCCTCTCCCCACAGGACTCATCCAGTCGCTGGGCTCCGGGGCGGTCTGCTGTGTGGCCGTGGGCAAGTGGCTGCCCCTCTCTGAGCCACACGGTGCGGGCCCATCAGCAAAGGTGGGGTCTGTGGCTGGAGAGCCGGGCGTGGGGGTCATGCAGTTTGGACCGTTTCTGAACAGCTCCTGGGGTCCACAGGGGTGGTCTCGTTGTCTTCTTGTTAAGTAGTGTTAGCATCTCCTCTTTATAGATGAGGAAACTGAGGCTCAAAGAGATCAGAGGGGTCTTTTAAAATCATTTGCTCAGTCACTCAGCAGTGACTCAGTGACTCCGAGGGGCCAGCCAAGGCCAGGGCCCCTGAGGCACTCCAGTTCAGTGAGGGAGGCACAACCAGCAGGAAAGCAGGGACGTAGGGAACTGCGCGTGGCAGGGCACTGCAAAGGGAGCCAGGCGGTGCAGGTGTGCGGGGCTGTGGGCTCAGGAGGGCCTCCGTGAGGAGGGACGTCCGGGCCCAAAGAAGCTTAAGTTGACCCCTCACCATACGTCCAGAAGCCCTCCCCACACCCCTGGCGTCTCACAGAGCCCCGAACACAGACTCTCCTTCCCACCTCTGTCCCTTCATGCTCACTGTGCCCTTCCCGCTGCCAGGAACACTGTTCCCTCTGATCCTCCCGAGGCCCATCCCAGCCATGACCAGTCACCTCTCACCCTACCCCGAACTGTGAGATCGGAAAGGTGGGGCCAGGTCTGCCTGGGACCCCTTTGTGCTCCCAGCTATGGGTCTAAGTCCCGGTCTGACACCTCCAAACTGCACGGGGCCGTGTGGCCTGGAGCCTCTGATTCCCTCCGCACACAGGGCTGGGCACAGCAGAAGGCTGATCCCAGGCACTAGGACAAAGGGCCAGCAGGCAGATTGAGGCGGAGCTCAGCCCCTCCTGCACCCCAGCTGGGTGAGCCCGGGCACATGACTTAGCCCCTCTGGATTAGTTTCCCACAGGCACAGTGGGGCTAGAGGCACCCACCCAGGGCATCTTGAGGGAAGTCAATCAGACCCTGGGAAGGATGAGCCCAGCAGGTGCCCTTCGAATTGCGGGATCAGAGCTCTCCCCTGGGGCAGGGGCATCCAGGACACTAGGGCATCAGAGGGGCTCAGGGAGGGCCCTGTGGGACAGTGACTGTGGGTGCCCGGAGCCTTCACCAGGTGGCACAGGCAGAGGAACAGCATTCCAGGCAGAGGGAACAGCACGTGCAGAGGGAACAGGCTGAGAGGACCAGGCTGAGGATCTTCAGGCGAAAGGACCAGGCTGAGGCCAGGCAGGTGTACAAGACAGAATATGCCCGTCCCAGCAGCTGCTGGAGAGGCTGAGGCTGAGGAGGGGATTTCAGGGGCTACTGCAGCTACAGTTATCCCAGCTAGAGGTGAGCAATGAACCCGGTGATGGAGAGGCAGGGAGGGGCCGGCAGGTGACATGCAGTACCTCCAACTGGCCATGCCCCTCCCAGAGACACTGGTGTTTCCATCAAAGCCACGGTCTCAGCAAAAGGGTTCTCAGCTGGTGGAACTGAGGCAGAGTCGGGCCAGATGGGGCCCAGGTGTCCTTCCCCACAGAGCTCAGTCCGTGCCCACCAGCAACATCTCTCTCTGCACGGGGTGGAGGGAGCCCTGGCCTGTGGGTGTGGGGGCTGGGGAGAAAGACTTAGCTTCTGGCCAGGGCCACCTGGGACCTGCTAGGTGACCTGGGGTGAGTCTGACCCCATTTGGAGAGCTCAGCAAGCACCCACCCGCCTCTGGGTGGAAGAAACAGCGGCTCAGACTTTGTCAAAAACAGCAGGTGATATTCAAAAGCAGATGCCGCAAAACCAAGAATAATCATAAAAATAAACAGGCAGACAATTCCCCCAGTCATGGCTATTTTAGCCCTGGAAGGCCATGAGGGCCACCCCGTCTGGGGTGCAGGCTCAAGCACACACAGACCCGTGGGCACACATGCGGCCTCAGGGCCTCGAGAATCCCCTTGGGCACAAACTCCTGGTCCAGAGATGCCTAATCCAGCCCCTCTCTCCCCAGCCTGCGCTGCGCTCCACTCTGGCCTGCGCTGGGTCCTGCCAGCTTACCTGGGTCTGATTCCCAGCCCCACCAGCTCCATGCTGCGTAACCGTGAGGACACCACTCACCCCTCTGGGCCTCCGGTTCCTCGTCTGTAACAGCTAGGACTGCTGTGTGGATGCTCAGAGCCCCTCTGTGGGGAAAAGGCTGGGCCCATCCTCCACATCTCCACAGGCAGCACACAGGGTCCTGAGCCAGCCCCCCAGGCAGGCTCAACAGTCACCCTGGGCCACCTGCTGCCCTGGGGCCGGGGCCACTCTGCTGCCTGGTCTCACATGTGGCAGTACGGAGGCAGACAGGCTGCTGGGCAGCCAAGAGAGAACTCCCAGGTTGCGGGGTGGGTTTGGGAGGAGCCCAGGGAAGTAAGGACACAGCCCTCCCCACCCACCTGCCAAGGAGGGAGGCTGGCATGACCCTGGTGCCCCCCTGGAGACCTCTGGGTAGGTGCCAGCACCCCAAGTCCGGGGATCTGGCCTTCCATGGCCAGGTGCCCAGCAGAAATTCAACAAGCTGTGGGTGGGGGCAGGGAGGCAGCAGCCCCCATCAGTGCTCTGGGCACGGAGTGGTGGTGTGGCCATTGGGATGTATGGAGCAGGAATCCCCGGGGAGGGGACAAGGTCAAATAACGTCCATGCTCGATGCTCATTCCCACCCCTTGGAAGGTTCCCAGGACTGTGAGCTTCACAAAGGCTCTGAGAAGTCCTGTGCTGAGCACACGTGTTGGCCCTGGCCTCTCCCCGCCTGTGAGCAGGCTGGTCCAGACAGGGCCCCATCCAGGTGCCAAAACCAGGAGCCTCCAGTGCTCCTATGTCACACATCTCCCATGTTAGGGGCATCTGCGGTGTTTCTCACTTAGTCCAGATACCCTGCCTGATTTCATTCATTCATTCAACAAGTATGGTTCCCAAAGTCCCAGCTGAGGGAACTGGGGCTCCCAGTGATGAAATGATTTGCCCAAGGCCTCGAAGGTGGCGGGTGGTAGAACTGGCTTGCAAACCAAAGACCATTGCCATCAAGAGTGGTGATGGGACCAGGTGCAATAGCTCACGCCTGTAATCCCAGTACTTTGGGAGGCCAACGTGGGTGGATCACTTGAGACCAGGAGTTTGAGACTAGCCTGGCCAACACGGTGAAACCCCATCTCTACCAAAAATACAAAAATTAGCCAGGTGTGGCGTGGGCACCTGTAATCCCAGCTACTCCGAAGGCTGAGGCATGAGAATCACTTGAACCCAGGAAATGGAGGTTGCAGTGAGCCGAGATTTCACCACTGCACTCCGTCTCCAAAAAAAAAAAAAACAAAAAAAAGAAAAAGCAAGCAAGAAAGAGTGGTGATGGGAGATAGAGGGTGGGAAGGAATGTAAGTGTGGACACAATGGTCAGAGTGATTGGGACAGGCTTCCTGGAGGAGGTGTCAGCCTTGCTTGGCTGGGAGGACTTGTGGGTAGTGAGGATGGGGCTGGGAGTGGAAGCCAATTTCCAACCAGTACCAAGACACTAGGTAGGTAGGTTTCAGAGGGTCCAGGCCAGGTGGCATTCACCCTGAATGCCAGGGTGAGAAACCAGGCCACACCTTGCCAGCCTTGATGGGGCTTGCTCAGGGCGTTCATGCAGCCGAAGGGGAAGCAGCCGAAGGGTGCTGCTCTCTGCCAGGCCGATCTGGGTGTGGGCTGGTGGGAGCCCTGCCCCCACCCACAGCCCTGCCTCGAGATGCTCAGAGTCCAGTGGGGAAGCCTGCAGCACACAGCAGCGCCACAGGATGAGTCCCGGGCTTGAGGAAGCGCAGGGTGCCCTGGGAGGACGCACCAGGGAGATGCAGCCCAGGGAGGAAGAAGAAGGCTTCCTTAAGGAGGCAAGTCCAGGGGGAAGGCCTAAAAATGGGCATGAATAAGCCGAAAGGGAGAGAGCAGGAACAGCTTGGGGATGGGCCCAGAGGGCGCGTGGAGTGTTTAGGCCCCGCTAGCAGATTCCTCTGCAGAAGCATCAGTCAGGTGCAGTGACTGGAGAGGCGCGTCCCCAGCCCCGCCCAGCAGTCTAGGCCTCAGGCCCCTCCCAGGGAGAATCCCCGAGCCAGCGACAGTCCCACCTTGGCAGGCTGTTTTGCGATGTGATATCTATGGGGAGGGCATGAGGGGCATCCTCCTTCACCCTCTGCCCCCTCCCCTGGAGGAGTCAGCAAAGCCTAGAAAGGCTGGGGCTCTCAGCGGTGTGCCCACCTGGAGGGGCGGGGGCTCTAAGGGTCTGCCCACCTCAAGGGGCGGGCCAGAAACAGAAAAGAAAGAGATGCTGCAGCGCCCCTGCCCCTGCCCCACCACACCTGCAGCTGGTGCCCTGGCTCAGCCAAGGCCCAAGACAGCCCTGCACGGCAGCGTGTCCAGCCATTCCCACTTCACAGGAGGAGAGACTGAGGCTCAGAGAGGACCCACCCAGGTCAGAGCCCTCCCTCCGTGCTGGCAGGGGCACTGAGTAGTGTGGGAGCTGGACCTGGTCTAGGCTGCTCGCCCAGGTTGGAGTAGAGCTCGCCCACTCACCCTCAGTCCCCCGCTGGCAGCTTGTCCCATCCTTTCATCACTTCCTGTGCCTGAACCCCTACTCTGGGCTGGCACATCAGGACAAGAACCCCCAAGGGAGATTCTATTTTGCCCACTCTACAGATGAGGGAACTGAGGCTCAGAGACTGTAAGGCCACATAGTCCCTTCAGAGATGGAGCCAGGCTTTGGCAGGGCCATCCAGGCCAGAGCCAGGGCTCCATGGCCACACTCCAGGTCCCCACCCTGCCAGGTCTCCACTCACTGACTCTCAGCCCTGGAGAGCAGGCCCTCGTTCCCTCTGTTCTGTCCCCAAGGAAGTACTTGTGTGTGGGTAGGGAGCAGAGCAGGCCTGGGCCAGTGGGGAAGAGGGGAAACCTCCCAGCCCTGGCACAGCCTCCAGGCCCTGAGCCCCAGTACCATGGCAGCACGGTCAGGACATGGTGCCAGCCCCTGCCTACGGGGCTCTGGCCAGTTGGCCCCAGCCATGGAGTCTGCTGTCTCAGACAGGCCCAGGGTACCTGCCAGGAAAGAGGGAGGAGACAGGGCCATCTCCCCCACACCCAGGTTTGGCTTAGGGAAACTGGGCTTGAGGACAGGGCCCTGCCTCCCCTCTCTGGCCAGCTCTGAGGGTAAGACCTTGCCTCTCCCCTCAGTCCAGGCTCCCAGGGTGAGGCAGAGCTATGGAAGGCACAAGTGACCCCATTTAGGAGATGAGGACGGTCAGGCTCACTGACCAGGCCCAGGTCTCGGCTGAGGGAGTGGCAGAGCTGGACTCAAACCTGGGTCTCTGTGCTGGTGACTGCACGTCACCCGGGCCCTCCAGAAAGCAGAGTCTGTGCCTCTTCCGCGGGCAGAGCCAGGCAGTCCCGGGAGGGGCAGAACCTTCTCCTTTCCCTAGTCGCTCCCCAGGGAGCCACTTCCGTGGGCCCCTGAAGGGTCTGGAGTCCCCGCCTGCGTTCCTCCTCCTTCTGAACAAAGAGGGTGGTGAGTGGGAGCCCCAGAGAGGCCCCTTAATAATCGAATCGGGACATCCGTCACTGTGGGAGGCAGGTGGGGACTGACAATATGGAGACAGAGACAGCCAGAGAGGAGGGCAGAGACAGGGACAGAAGGTCTGGGCGGAGGGCCCAGGTCGTGGCGGGATCAAGGCTCAGAGTGCCACAGGAATCAACGCCCATTGTGCTATTAGTTTTTGTTGTTGTTGGTTTTTTTTTTTTTTGAGGTGGAGTCTTGCTCATCGTCCAGCCTGGAGTGCAGTGGCGCGATCTCGGCTCACTGCAAGCCCCGCCTCCCAGGTTCACGCCATTCTCCTGTCTCAGCCTCCCGAGTAGCTGGGACTACAGGCGCCTGCCACCGCGCTCGGCTAATTTTTTGTATTTTTAGCAGAGACAGGGTTTCACCATGTTAGCCAAGATGGTCTCGATCTCCTGACCTTGTGATCTGCCCGTCTCGGCCTCCCAAAGTGCTGGGATTACAGGCGTGAGCCACCGTGCTCGGCCCCATTGTGCTATTAGGATTGGGGTCAGTGTGTGACCAGGGTCAGGCTCAGAGTGGGACAGGGATCGAGGTTCATCACCTTACTGGGATCATGGCTCAGTGTGTCACCAAGATGAGGGCTCAGCTTTGTTTGAGATCAGGGTCAGACTCTTAGTGTTGGGAATCAGTGCATGCTTTGCTAGCTCCCTCTCCTCACCATTGTGGCCTCTGGGGTGTCCGGCACATTCTGCCCATCCCCCCAGCTTGAGAGGCCGCAGAGCCCCCACATCCCTAGCCAGGACCCCAACACCTCAGCGTTGTTGGTGAGCCTGATGGGCTGGCCCTGGGGAGTTTTCTGGGAGGGCAGAATCCCCAGGGGCCAGCGTCACCCTGGGACTCGCTCCCAGAGGAAACGTTCTGTGTTGTTTACGATTTCTCTCTAATTGGGACACTAATATAGGCCCCGTACAGACAAATTGGAAAAGCAAAAGGCACACAGAAAGGAATCCCAAAATAGTTTTTTGGCCCTGCAGTCCCTCAGTCCAGCTGCGGAGCCTCCTGGACCTTTTCTGACAGTGTTTCATCCACAGCAGAGGAGGGACCCATCTCCTTCTGGGGATCTTCTGGGGCTCCTGAAGCCCACAGCCCCGAGACGCCAGGTTCCCAGCCCCCATGTGCCCAGCCTCCTCCCCTCCCCTGGCTGCCTGCTGTGCCCCAAACCCCCTGACTCTGGTAGCCCACCAGGACTGAGGGAGGACTGATCTATTCATCCAACAAATGCACCCGTCAATGCCCGCGTCTCAGGGCCTGGGGATAGAGAGCTTGCTTGCAGTCGGGGGGAGCTGGGAGCTGAGCCTGGGCCCTTGTGTGGTGGGGGTGGCAGGAGGGGCTGGACACAGGCTTGGGCAGCACTTGACTCCTCCCAGCAGCCTCCAGGGTAGCATGCACCCAGGGCTGGGGTCCCAGAGGCAGAGGGCATGCTGGGTGACCTCATGCAGGCACTGACCTCTCTGACCCTGAGGAAGAAGGTGGCCGCCGACTGGAGGGACCTGGCCCTCTGAAAGCAAGAGTTCTTTGCTGCCCTGAGCCAGGCCAGGGGCTGTTTGAAGTCAGGGCTCATTGTTCCCCAGGGGTGGGATGGGGCCACGCACTGGTCAGAGGGAGTGGCGGGGCGCAGCGTGTTTACAGCAGGCAGCCACCAGGAGGGGAAGGGGCAAGGGTCCTCCCTTCTCCAGCAGGTGGGGGAGGGGCGCTGTGCAGAAGAAACAGCCCACGAGCCTCCCCACCCTCCCTTACCCCAAAGGCTTCTCCTTTCTCCTGAAAAAGCCAGAAATGCCCTTATTTGGAGGGTCAGCCCAGCTCTAGGGTGGGGGTAGGGCCGTTAACCCTTCATTTATAAATAGAGGGATAAATCACTGCCGAGTTAAACACGCCAGGGCAGGAACATAAACAGAGTGGGTGGCTCCGGCACAGCCCCTCGCCCGCTCCCCACCCCGGCCCCCCTGCCCAGGCCAGACGGGAGCTTGCTGTTTATTTGACTCACACCCTGGCTCCAGGCTTCAGCCCCAGCCAGTCACCCCACAGGGGCCTCTGTCTCCTTTTCTGTGGGTTGGGGGGGTTATAGGGTGCCTGCCTCTCAGGGACAGTAGGAGCCTGGGGTGCCCAGTGGGACTGGACCTTGGCTCCCATCCAGCCCCACTGGACAGTCTAGTTCCCTTTGTGAAGGCCCCTCATGAGGACCCCCGTCCAGGGCATTGACCTAATGCTGGCCTGGGAGGAGGGGAGAACAGATGGGTGGTCCCGGAGGTTGGGGGCCATGACGGCGGGTGTGGGGACAGGGGAGTGGGCAGGGCAGTCAGAGGTCCCCACCACCAGCAAGGCTCTGGCCCAGCAGAACTGGTTCCTCGGCCACCAACTCTGCTGGTGCTGCTGTGCTGATCCGCTTGCTTCATCACCCCATCGGCAACGCCATCACAGTCATATAGATGAGGAAGCAGGTAGAGAGGCTACATGGCCTACCCGAGCACGCACACTAGTCAGTGGCAAAGCCGGGGCTGGAGCCAGGCCCTGGAACTGCACACTGGAGCCCCGTGGTCGTGCCCTTATCAGCTCTCCATCCTGAGGACAGCCCTGCACTGCACATGTTTCCACCTCCTCCTCCTGCCAGGACGGTCGCAGAAACCTCCACATTTTGTCAAGGCTCCATGCTGGCCAGTGCCAGGGCTGGAATTTGAACCCGTGTCTGAATCTGAAAGCCTGTGCCTTTTCTGCTGACGTCCGAGGCTCCCTCTGGGTAGAGCCAAGGGAGCAGGCATTTGAGGCCCTGGACGAGGCGAGGGCATGGAGGTGGGGGCTGCTGGGTGTGCAGGGGCAGATGGGCTGGCTGAGTTCCGGGCCTCAGGGCAGGGCTTAAGGCCAGGCTGGCGCCTGGGGTGACCTGGTCTCCTTGCTTCCAGGCCTGGGGTGTGCAGGCTGCCGTCATGCCCTCTGTGTCTCCAGTGGGGCCCTCGGCCGGGGCAGTCCCCAATGCCTCCGCAGTGACAACAGTGTGGACCAATGCCAGCGGGCTGGAGGTACCCCTGTTCCACCTGTTTGCCCGGCTGGACGAGGAGCTGCATGGCACCTTCCCGGGCCTGTGGCTGGCGCTGATGGCGGTGCACGGAGCCATCTTCCTGGTGGGGCTGGTGCTCAACGGGCTGGCGCTGTACGTCTTCTGCTGCCGCACCCAGGCCAAGACACCATCAGTCATCTACACCATCAACCTGGTGGTGACCGATCTGCTGGTGGGGCTGTCCCTGCCCACGCGCTTCGCTGTGTACTACGGCGCCAGGGGCTGCCTGCACTGCGCCTTCCCGCATGTCCTAGGTTACTTCCTCAACATGCACTGCTCCATCCTCTTCCTCACCTGCATCTGTGTGGACCGCTACCTGGCCATCGTGCGGCCCGAAGGCTCCCGCCGCTGCCGCCAGCCTGCCTGTGCCAGGGCTGTGTGCGCCTTTGTGTGGCTGGCCGCCGGTGCTGTGACCCTGTCGGTGCTGGGCATGACGGGCGGCCGGCCCTGCTGCCGTGTCTTCGCGCTGACTGTTCTGGAGTTCCTTCTGCCCCTGCTGGTCATCAGCGTGTTCACCGGCCGTATCATGTGTGCACTGTCGCGGCCAGGTCTTCTCCGCCAGGGCCGCCAGCGCCGCGTGCGGGCCATGCAGCTCCTGCTCACGGTGCTCATCATCTTTCTCGTCTGCTTCACGCCCTTCCATGCCCGCCAGGTGGCCGTGGCGCTGTGGCCCGACATGCCACACCACGCAAGCCTCGTGGTCTACCACGTGGCTGTGACCCTCAGCAGCCTCAACAGCTGCATGGACCCCATCGTCTACTGCTTCGTCACCAGTGGCTTCCAGGCCACCGTCCGCGGCCTCTTTGGCCAGCACAGAGGAGAGCGTGAGCCCAGCAGCGGTGATGTGGTCAGCATGCACAGGAGCTCCAAGGGCTCGGGTCGTCATCACATCCTCAGTGCTGGCCCTCATGCCCTCACCCAGGCCCTGGCTAATGGGCCCGAGGCTTAGTCAGCAGGGCTCATGCCAGGGGCTGAAGGTCGGGGCTATCTGGGCATGCCAGCCTGGACACCCACCATGCCAGGGGTGGCAATCGGTTTCATCTCGATTGATTGGTGATGGCTACCCAGAACACCGCATTGAGTCTAAGGCCACTGTGCTGTGGTTGATTAGCAATGTCTGTCTGCCACTGGCTCCAGCTGGGATGTGGTGGCCTGAATGCCAGTGATTTGCTGTTCCTGGGGTACCGCGTGCCCACTGAAAACTCAGGGGTAGCCAGGAGCTGCTCCTCACTTTGGCCAGTTTGTCTCCAGAAGGAGTTCCTCAGAAAAAAGGACAAAGTGGATTCCATTGACTAGAAGGATGAGATAAAAAAGAAAAAAGAAAAAAGGACAAAGATTATTTAGGTACTCGGAATTCCCAAGAGAGTTAACAGCAACAATGCTCCCTCCAACACCCACACAGAAGGAAAAACAAGGACAGAAAGCAAAGGCCAGGGAGCATTAATGTTGCATTAATTGAGGTGCGGGGAAGTGCATGTCTCTGCAAGACCCCCCCACCTGAGGCCTCTGTGAATTGCACGATAGAACAGCAGACACCCACAGGCCGCTCTACTGTGAGCAAGCACTTTGATATCTGGGTTGACACTTGAACCCGCAACAACCCACAAAGAACAGGTGATTTTTCATCCATTTCTTGGTGCTGGAGGGGTCAAGTGACACACACAGGGGCCACAGCTGGGAAATGGCAGGGTCAGAATGAAAACCAGCCCCACCTCCTCCAGTGCCCTTGCACCTCCTTCCACAGAGACTGCACCATCTTCCCAAAGTCCTCACTCTAGGAATAGCCTCAGAACGGCCCACCTGCTGCCCCAGGCAGACGGCAGTGCTCACTGTCCCATCCTATGGGTAAGAAAACCAAGAAGGAAGTCACGCAGCAACGAACCCAGGCATGCCGGGCTGCAGCCACCATCTCCCCATGCAAAGAGACGTTTTTCTCCCCTCGGGGGGCAGAGAGGTCGTGACCAGCTGCTCTGGCCCGGCTCACTATGCGTCCCCCTGCCTTCACTAGGGAGGGAATTTTCTCTGGCTGGGGCCTCTGGCCATCTGCTGGGAGCTGGACTCCAGGATTGCCTCCCTTTGTACCTTCTGCCGAGTGTCCAAGATCCCAACCCTTTCGGGACTGGTGTATGGGGAAGGGGGCCTGTGGCGACGGAGAGGAGTGTGGGGCATCCCTGGCACTTCTGGCTCCGAGGCCCTGCCATCATACCTGGCCATAGCCACTGAAGCAGGCGAGATGGGCTCGGGTCCCCAGGCCAGGCCTTTGGCTACAGAGAAGTCCTACACACTCAGGGTGACCGTGGCCTGTGTGGCTGCGAGCAGGAGGGGGAGGAGGAGGAAAAGACTGGGGCTCCCCGACTCGGCTCGAGGCAGAGTCTCCTATCCCCAGTTTAGGGTGCTGGACTTTATATCCCCATGTTACAAATGAGGAAACTGAGACTCAGAGGGAGAAAGGGGCTTGCCAAGGTCATAGAGTGAGTGTCTGAGTCATCCAAGGCCAGTACTGTCCTCACCAACCCCAACTGTGGCCATGTGGGGCAGCTGGGGTGGGGGGTGCTGGCGCAGAGGAGGCAGAGGTGTGCCCAGTAAGGTGGTGGAACTGCCAGGGCTGCTTCCTTCCTGGGTCCGGATGTCCAAGAAACAGCGGGTATCGCCATGGCCACCAGCATTCTTGACACTTACCAGGCACCAGGCACAATTCTGGAACCTTCCCCCAGCCCCTAGCTCTCTGGCGTGGTTCAGAGAGGAGCTGTGGCTTACTAGGGACGCAGGGTTCCACAAGGCAGAGGGATCCAGAAAGGAGGCGGCTGGGGGACGGGGCTGTGCATGCACAAAAACCCCACTGACCCCAGGAGCAACCTTCATGGCGGCTTTCAGGCAAGCAGGCACCAACGGCGAGCGAGCCGCCATTCCCAGGGCTGCAAGTCAGCACCCACGTGGTCATGCATCTAAAGCTGAGGAGCAAGGGGTCAGTGCTCAGGTGTCCTGCTCAGCCCAACCCAGCTGCGGGCGTCTCTTCCAGGTTCATGTGGCCCAGCAGTCCCTGAATGGCCTTGCTCCTCTGGGACCCCCCCACCCACGCTCACAAGTCATCCAGGGCCAGGGACTCTGGACTCCACTCCTCCAGGGGCTATGGGTCCTCCTGCTCCATCTTAGGGGGTGCCCAAAGCCCCAGAGACTACCTGCTGGCTCCCACTCCTGCCCCTCAAGCAAGCTCTGCACATGGCCTGGGGTATGACACTCCTCTGCCCTTGGTCCCACACTGTGCTGTGAAGATCCCTCCAGGCTGGGGCCGCAAGGAGGCAGGGGGCAGCGGGAAGGGGTGCTCAGGCGAGGGGAAATGGCCTGGGCAAAGGTGAGGCCGAGCGCCGCCTCGCTGGGGCCAGTGAAGGGCCTTCCGTGCAGCTTCCCAGCCCCCATCCCCCTGCCAGTGTTTCCTGCCCCCCTCCTCCAGTGTTCCCTGTCCCTTGGGCCTTCAGCTTCCCCGTCAGTGCCCCCCAATCTGGCTCCATTCCTGGTTGTCACTCTAATTCATGCTAAAGGGTGAATGGCTGACACTTGAGGACTGCTGTGCTCAAAGAGGCACGGCTTGCAGTTTTTCTGGAACAATCCCTGTCTTCAGGAGGAAGGCACTCTAAGGCGGGTGAGCCAGGTCCCCCTCTTTGTCCCCATGTCTGAAATCCCATCATTCAACTGGGGTTCCTCGGGCCTCAGAGGCTTCTCAGACTGCAAGAGGCCAGGAGGGGAAGGAGCTCCCCTGATAAGCAAGCCTCAATTTCTCCACACCCTACTCCTCTTTCTCCTCTCCTCAGCCTCATAGCTGGAGGGCAGGGGGCTGAGGGAGGGGGCACCCCAATGCCCTGGACTGCCCCACAGCTTCCCCAGCCGCTTGCTTTCTCCTCCTGATGGCTGGCTCCTTCCCACTTCAGCCTCCTCTGTACCCTCCACTGAGCCCCAGGAGCTTCAAAAGTCAGACCAAGACTGTCCTTGGTCCCACGGGGCAGAGGTGAGATCTGTGCGCGCCCCCTCTCCACACTTTCATGGGGACAGAGCGTGAGATTTTTGCGCCCCCTCCCCACGATCCCCCTTTCCGGATTTTTAAAACGCTCCAGTGACGTGAAATGGTGTGTGTATTTATATCCGACATCAACAATCTCCTTCACGAGATGGCCTTGTCCGGAATTAAAGCTGTTTATTCTATTCCTGCCCACGACTCTGCTCCTGCGCTGGTGGGGGGCATGGAGCTGGCGAAGGGTATGGAGCAGGGTGGCGGCCCTACACACGCTCCAACTCCGTGTCCTTCGGACCAGCAGCTCCACAGGGAGGCAGTGACGGCGGTTTCGTGGTTTTGTCATCCCTGCTGGGAGGCAGATTTAGGGGCCTTGAGCTCTGCCCAGCTCTGATGGGCAGTGGATGGAGGGGGCACAGGTGGCCGACTTGCCAGCAGGGTATGGGCACAGCAGCTTGGGTGGGGGTTGGCACGGACCAGCAGAACAAGGGGGCTCCATCCCTGATCCCAAGCCTGCCTACCCAGGGCAAGGACGTGGAGGTGGGTGAGGCAGCCAGACCACCCACAGCCGCTGAGTCTCCTATCATATCAGCAGAGATATGGCCTAGAAGGAGAGGGAGCAGATGGGTCGGCTGCTCCGACACCCCAGGGAGAGGGGGGACTGGCCGCCTTGTGGGCCTACTAAGTGCTGCTGCGTGGCCCCTTCTCTGAACCTGGGAAGGTGGGATGGCCACCTCCATTCCCGGAGGAGAAACTGAGGCTTTGGGGGTGGCCAGGGAGGGGGCTCAAACCAGGGCCCCTGGGTGCCCAGTTCTCGGTCTCTGGTCTGGCGCAGCGGAGCTCCGGGTGGGGAGGCGCTGTCTGGGGGCTCGTCACTCCCACGGTCTGGCACCCGCGGCGGCCGGAGGCGTCTGGAGGTAAATATTAGGGTCTGTTTAGATTAAGCTCCATTAATAGCAGGAAATGTCGCCTGGGTGCCTGCCCCAGCTTCCTGGGGGCCTGAAGGCATGGGGCGGGGTGGGGGTGCACTGTCTGAGCTGGACACCTCTCCGTGTGCCCTATTGGAGCTGGACACCCCCTATCTCTACCCCTCCACGCCCTGCTTACCGCCTCGCTTAGCGGCTCCGATTCCAGCCTCCCTGCCTCTTCACACACAGTCCTTCCTCTCTCCTTCAGGGCCTCCGCAGCCCAGCGCTCTGTGTTCCCCACCCCATCCCCTCTTGGGGTAAGGCCTCATGGGATGAGAGGGGACCCACGGGGCCACATTTGCCTACCCTCTGGAGCTGGGCCCCCACCTGAAGGGGTCTGTGCGCCCAATTTACAGAGGAGAAAACTGAGGCTCAGAGACATCATGGGACCAACCCAACGTTCCCAGGCGCCACCTCAAAAAGGAGCTGGAATTCCCCTTCCAGCCCTGCCTGACTCCAGGGTCAAGGCCACCCCTACCTCCTGACCGCCTATCAGGAGTCACAGAAAGCTGTGGGCCAGGGAGAGGGGCAGTCAAGCTCAGCGTCTGCAGGTCTCTGACTGTGGAGGGGCGGGCCCAGATGCAGGAGGGAGCGGAGGGATGAGTAGGAAAGGCGGGAGGGGAGAGAGGGGCCCAGGGGAGGGGCTGTGGTTGGAGGGCTAGGACAGGCCTGGGGAAGTGGTTCCGCCCATGAGACCACAGTCTCCTGCTCCCAGGCCTGTCCCCTGCCATTCCCTCCCCCTGGATGGTCCCTCACCCAATCTCCTCGGACCACCTGCTCTGTGACTCCTGGCCCTCACCCCACTGGCCCAGCAGCCTGTGCTTATCGCTAGCCAGGGCCTTCCGCTTGTCACGTCCCAGCCCCTCCTCTGTCCCTGCTCTTCCTGGGGCCGCCTCTTGAAGCTGATTCCTCCCCACCCCCA